ATACAATATTTGTCCTTTTGTGACTGACTTATTTCACTCAGCATAATGTCCTCCAAGTTCATCCACGTTATGCGGTGTTTTGTATAAAATCTTTTAAGTGTTTTAACATGGCCATTGGATCCAGAAATATAACTGTTGGATAGTTTCATCTGCTCTAACAGTTTTTGGGCTTTCTGTTGTAGTTAAAAGCTTCAGATTAGCACTGATAACACACAAAGGACAATTCTAAATCACTAGGGTGAGAAGAAATATAACATACTTCAAATTAAACACTTTTTCCTTTTTTCTTGTCTTGCTCCGTCTTTCTCACAGCCTTGCGAAATTGTCACTCTCACCCGAGAAAACTGCCGTAAGTTGCTTGGGAAAGGTTTACAAGGAGCCAGTGGAGTGAGTGGGGATGGATGATAGGTTGGGGATACAAGTCTCCTGTGGATTTGACTGAGGTTTGGGAGGTGCCATTGTCTATGGTGAAAGATTCTTATGAATTGATATGTTTGATTTGGTAGCCACCTCAGGTAAGTAATCATTTCCAATGTGATCTTGGAAGTTAAGTGATTGAAAAGCTAGCTATCTTAACACTGAAGAAAAATTCCACTGTAAAATACCATGTAATGCAATGATAATTACTTACCTGCGTATCTGTGTTTGGTAGCATAGTGCCTAAAGCACTTGACTGCTAACCAGAAGGCTGGCGGTTCAAACCCACCAGCCACTCCTCGGAAGGAAGGTTGGGCAATCCTACTTCCCTAGTGATACTGCCTCGGAAACCCAAGGAGGGGTCACTATGAGTTGGGGCTGACTCGACGGCATACGAACAACAACAACATATCTGTGTTTTGGTAATCTTTTTATCTCATAAGAAGTTTTATTATTTTTATTTCATTAAATAAGAAGAATCATTAGTAACCCTCCAATAAGAAATATGTCCTGTTTTATTGACATTTTTTTAAAAAATGGAATTATAAATTACCAAATTTTAAGTCATATTTTGTCACACTCCCAGATGGCGATTTATTTGCTGTCTTTAATGTATTGCAGGATATTTGCATCCTGTAATACACACTTTTCTTCACCTACTGGCAATAAAGAGAGACACTGAGTTGGCAAGTAACTTAGTTTGTCATTTTTCTTAGAGGTTACCCTGTGATTTATAATTTTCTCCCCGAGTTTAGAACAGTCCATTCTATCTTGTAACTCTCTTGACTTCCTCACCGTTTAGAGGTTCTGTAACTACACAGTATTTTCCCTCTTTTTGGTTTGTAGTTGGCCTCACTTGTCAATTGATGTCTCTGGTTCCCTGTTTACAATCTTGATAAGCTTATTTTACTTTGGATATGTCTATAGCTATGGTTTCTGGGTTATGTCACCTTGTGTATTGATGGTCGGTTGTTGTTTACTATTTTTGGTTCTCTTTTCAAAGGACTCCCTTTAGTATCTCTTGTAAGGTTGGTCTGGTTTTAACAAATTCCCTTAGTTTCTGCTTATCTGGAAATCTCCTAATTTCACCATCGTATTTGAGGGACAATTTTTCCAGGTATATAATTCTTAATTGAAAATTTTTCTCTTTCAGGGTTTTATATATACTATCCCATTGCCTTCTGGCTTGCATGGTTTCTGCTGAGAAATCAGAGCTTATTCTTACTGGTTGTTCTTTGTAAGTAGTTTTTTGTTTTTCTTGTGCTGCTTTCAGGATTTTTTCTTTGTCTTTGGTTTTGATGAGTTTGATAACATGTCTTGGTGATTTTCTTTTGGGGTCTATCTTTTGTGGGGTTTGTTGGATTCCTAAATGCATATATTCTCATCTTTTATCACATCACATCCTCCAACCAATTTTGGACAATGTGGTTTTACTTTTCTCTTCCTGTTCTGGAATTCCAGTGACACATAGGTTATTCCTTTTGATGGTATCCCACATGAACCTTAGGTTTTCTTCATTTTGTTTTGATCTTTTTTCTGAGTGATCCCTTTCCAAAGAAGTATTCAGGTATTTGTCTTCAATCTCAATAATTCTGTCTTCCATTGGTTCAACTCTACTCCTTTGCACCTTTCAATGTGTTATCTATTTCTGACAATTTAGTATTAATCTTCTGGATTTCTATCTGTAGATTGAGAATTATTTCTAATTTTTCATTTATTTTGTCATTTTGTTCTTGTATTTGTTTCCAAAATTCTTCTAGGGTTTTTTTCTGTGTTTTCCTTGGTCTGTCTCTTAATCCTTTGAAGATACTTAAATATAATTCTTTTGAATTCCTTATCAGAGAGTTCCAATGCTGCTTCTTCCTCGGGGCTATGTTCTGGATCTGCATCCTGCTCCCTTGTTTTTACCACTTTATCTTGCTTCTTTGTGTGGATTGTGATCGTCTGTTGTCTCTGAGACATTGTGGCATTATTGTATTTAGCTCTCTGTTAACTGTTTGTGAAGAGCAACCAAGGATGAGTCAGAGTCTTCTTGGTGGTTGTTTTCATTGGCCCATTGGTGGCAAAGGAAATAGTGGTTCTCACTCAATAAGTGAAGCTGCAGGAGGTGTGGGTGTAGTTGCGTCGTATGGGGACTGTTGCTGTCTTCCACTCAGTTAGACAAAAATAACAATGAATAACCAAAAAACATCAAAAAAGTAAAAGCAAATGGACAAAAAGCACACCGTGTAATCACACAAGAACAGTAACCAAAAAAAAGCAGAAAGGCAAAAAGAAAAAACCCCTGCAATACCTGGGTAGAGGGCAATAAGAGAAAAAAGTAGAGAAGGAGAATAATGAAGAAAATAATGGGAAAAATGCAAAAGGAAAAACAAGGGACAGGGTTAACCACAAGAAAGAAAAAATAGCAACCAGGAACAGGGAAAAGAAAAAAGAGCCAAAAACTAGAACCTGGGAGTGTAAGAATAAAGAATAATAGAAAAAGGACAAAAGTAATAATAACAGTAGTAGTTTTAAAACAGACAAAAACAAACAAACTAAAAACAGAAAAAAGAAAAAAAAAGTCAGGGCAGGGCAGGACAGGACACCCAGGCTCCATCTGAGCACACAGACTGGGATGGAATTCCCTCCAGCCAAGAAGGTGAGTGGGAGTGAGGGATGACCACACCTCTGTTCACCAAGAGAGTGTGGGGTATAAGAGTAACAAGGGGAATGTCACACCTTTCCAGTCGTCTGCGTCTGGAATGTCCTTGCAGTTTCTGGCAAGTGGAGCCTGTTCTTAAGTCCCTGGACTCTGGGAGAATGCTATCACTTTAAAGATCCAAAATGGCCAAGATGCTTGTAAACATTCAAAATGGCTGCACCCTCTGGACAGGCAAAAGTCCACAGCTTCCTCTTTGCTACTTCCCGTTTTATTCACCAGGCATCAGAGCAGTCCTCTGTGCAGTCCCTGGCTAGCTGGGCTGATTTTTAGGTTAATTCTTAGGTCCTACCACCCACTCAGCAGTATCCAACCTGTCTGTGTTGTCAGGATCGCTGCCAGACCACAGCTCCGCATGTCTCCTTTTTTGGTGTTTTCATGCAAATTCTTCTGCTAGTTGGAGTTTAGCCCACTTCGGTATCCTTCCCTTCATGGCTCAGGGGTCCAGGATTATCTTCTGTATCTGTGTTAATTGGTTCCCCTTTTCTTTGTTGAAGAGGGTCTGTGCAGTCTTTCTGCCTATTCTGCCATCTTGCCGGAGCTCCTGAAGTAATTTAGTTGAAAGCTTCGATTTTCTTCACAATCATGTTGCCCTTCTTACTTTAACTCTTCCATGCTCTGTGCCTTCCCATCCAGCTGTCGTCTGGGGGAGATTATGGAATATTTTTTCCTAAAAATCTCAAAAAATAATACCATCAGCATGAGCACTAAAGAAAGGAGTGTCAGAGTTGGCCATGTACATGTTAAATCCCCTTTACATCAAGTAGCACCATGAGGTCAAAAGTAAACAGGAAAATTGGAAAAATATATACAATATAAACACCTAACCCAAGCAAAGGACCCAACTTCCTCACTATATTGTGCTGAAATGTAGAAAATTACTGTTACTCAATTATTTTCATCTACATGCACAGACATTTCATAATGGTTTAATCAAAATATAAAAAGTTCTTTTATCTTGAAATTGGGGAAAAAACATGAACAGGAGATTCAGGAAAGAAAAAATACAAAGAACAATCAATTTATGAAAATATTCTTCTTCACAAGAAGTCAAAGAATAAAAATTAAAACAATAAGATACTCCTTTTGTTTCTCAATTGGAATTTTCCTCCCATATTTTCCTTTTCTCTTTTAAAAACTTTAGTGTGATCAAATATATGCACAAAATATTTGCCATTTTAACTATTTTTTAAGTGCAGAATTCAGTAACATTAATTACATTCACTATGTTGTGTAACCATCACCATTACCCATTTCCAAAAGTTTTCATCACCCAAACAGAATTTCAGTACCCCTTAACAATAACTTTCCATTCCCTTTCCCTCTAGTCCCTGATAACTGCTAACTTTTGCCTGTATGCATTTACCTAGTCTAGATATTTCATATGAATGGGATCATTCAGTGTTTGTTCTTTTGTGTCTGACTTGCTTCAGTCAGCATAATGTTTTCAAGTTCCATTCATGTTGTAGCATGTATCAGAAATTAGGTTTGTTTTATGGTTGAATAGTAGTCCATTGTATATCATATTTTATTTATCCATTCATCTGTTGATTGTCTTTTTGGTTGTTTCCACATTTTGGCTATTGGTGTAAGTGGGAATGTTTTTAAATGGCAAAAAAAAGAAAAAAAAATCCCTACCCAAATTTGGAAATGTATAAAAGTACACATTACTTGTGGTAGTATAAATCAGTACAATGTTTCTGAAGAGCAATTGGACAATAACTTATCAAAATGTATAACTATGGAGATTTATGTTAGGGATATAATTGGACAAATATGCATACATACTTGTACAAGGATACTTACCACATAGGCATATTGGCTGAAAAAATCATAAGACATCTATATAGAAGAATAATACGCAGTCATTGTGAAAGATGACCTTGCTCTAAATTTATCGATGGAATTAAGGATAATTTTAACTTTTTCTTTTTCTAATATTTTTCACGAAAATGAATTACTTTTGTACACATACAATTATGCATAGTATATATAGTTTATAGTTAATATATATTATATATATGTATTATATATATTATATATATGTATTATATATATGTATTATATATATGTATTATATATGGATTATGTATATATAATATATATGGATTATATATATATAATATATATGGATTATATATATATTCTATATATGGATTATATATATATTCTATATATGGATTATATATATAATATTGTGCCAGATATGTGTGTGTAATGTTAGAATAGCTCAGTGTATTAGATTTAAGTTCAGCGAGTGTGAACTAAATCCCCAAGTAACAATGATACAGATGTATTCCTCAAATCAAAGCCTAGAAGAAGTCAGTCTTGGGTTCATATGGATTCTATGGTGCTCAGGGATTCAGGCTCCTTTTATTTTATTGCTTTGCCATTGGTAGGGAGGGTGCTCCTCTCCCCAGATAACTCCAAGGTCCAAGAGAGTTGCTGATGACAGCCATGTCTACATTTCAGCCATAAAAGAAAAGGAAGGAAAGGGGGGAGGGGAGGGAAGGGAAGGGAAAAGAAGAGAAGGAGCAGGACCCTTTTTGGAAGTTGCACCTACCATTTTTCTTATTCAAATGGACAGAACTTAGTAAATTGGCTAGCTTACTTGGGAATGTAGTCGTTATGCCAGGCAGTCATAAGCCCAGCCACAAAATAGCAATTCTATTCCAGAAAAAAGGGAAAATGGTTATGGGAGCTAGAGATCTCTGCCACACACAGGCAGGAATCTGAGAAGGTTACTGCTTGAATTTCCCAAAGGAGATAGTTTTTCATATGGAAGTACTCATATGGAAAAGATACCACTGCCTAAGGAAACTAACAATGCCTTTTTTTTTTTTTTTTTCCTCTCCAAAAATAATTTCATTTTCAGCTTGCTCAATAGGTAAATAATATTCCTCACTCACCTAAATCCTCATCTGTTTGGAGGCTCTTTAGAAATTCCTAAATCTTGTGCATTCATTGTGTCAAGGTGTTTCCAAATGCCCTGCGTTCCCAACCGAAGTGGTCTTTGCCCTGGACATGTCAAATGATGTCTCCCAGTTGGATTTTGAAAGGATGAGAGACATTCTGTTATCTCTGTTGTTGAAGATGGAAATAAGTGAGACTAACTGCCCAACGGGTGCCCGAGTGGCCATCGTTTCATACAGTGACAAAACAGATTACCTGGTTCGCTTCTCAGACTACAAGGGGAAGACTGCCCTCTTGCAGGCTGTTAGGAAAATCCCTCTGGCACAGTCATCTGGCCGCCGGAGTCTTGGGACCACCATGAGGTTTGTGGGGAGACACGCATTCAAACGTGTGCGCTCAGGACTTCTTATGAGGAAGGTGGCTGTATTCTTTGATGTAGGCTGGATCTATGATACAGCTTCCATTAACATAGCTACACTGGAACTCAGTGCACTGGACATTATTCCTGTGGTCATCACCTTCACGAAGGAGCACAACCTCCCAGATGTTCTGTTGGTAAGCTGGGGACACCACTGGTAGGTAGATTGTTGAGAAATTATCACCTACTTGTTACCCCTTGCTCCCTGGGTGGTGCAAAAGGTTAACACCATCAGCTTCTAACCAAAAGGTTGGAGGTTTGAATCTACCCAGAGGTGCCTCATAAGAAAAGCCTGGAGATCTACTTCTAAAATTACTCACTGAAAACCCTATGGAGCACTGTCCTACTCTGACACAAGTCAGATCACCATGAGTCAGGGTCTGCTGCACAATGATGGATTTTTTTAAATCCTTACCCCTTCATCAAGGAGCATATGAGGAATGAGAGCTACTCAGGGGATGAATTCCTCAGATATTGGTGTGTATGCATAGGGGGTAGTGGTGGGATCTGCATGGCACCTATTACTAGTACTACCAACTGGCAATTCTTGAGAGTTTATTCTGTGCTATGTGCTTATAAACATTATTTTATTGTCTTGAGCACCCTATAAGGGAGATGTTACTGTTTATCTCTGCTTTGGGGATAGGAAAATTGAGGCTTAGAGAAGTTAAGTGTATCTTTGAAGGTCAAATATCTAGTTAATGACAGACTGATATTGTACCTACATTGTCTGCCTTCTGAGCCTATGCTTAGCCACCACTATGCTGAACTGTATCATTGGGATAATCATATCATCATTGTAATTTTCTTTCTTTATGTTTTGATTGGGATATAACCTATGTACCCATGTGTTTTGGCAGTGCCTAAGGCACTTGGCTGCTAACCAGGAGGCTGGTGGTTCAAATCCACCAGCCACTCCTTCGAAGGAAGGTTGGGCAATCTACTTCCATAGTGATACCACCTCGGAAACCCAAGGAGGGGTCGCTATGAGTTGGGTCCAACTCGATGGTACATAACAACAACAGGTGCCACTCTGACAAGAATATACCACAAATAGGATGGCTTTAACAAACAGGAGTTTATCCTTACAATTTGGAGGCTTTAAGTCCAAGTTCAAAGTGTTTGGCTCTAGGGGCTGGGTGAAAGCCCCTCAACCTTGGGCTTCAGCTTTGCCTCCTGCTTCTGGCCCACTGGACCTGGAGGCTTTTCTTCCCTCAGCTGCTGGCTGCTGAGGCTGACAAACCCAACGTTGACAAGTAAGAAGGCACAGTCCCGATATTACCAAACCACATGGTAGGCCATTAATTCAAGTCCATTAAAAGTCCCAAGATTGGCAGAGCATGGCAGGCTGCTGAACAACAAGTTGCCTACATGCAGGGTTCAAGTGTGCCATAAGCTAGAGTCCTTCCTCAAAGTTGCTTCTTATATGCTGGAAGCAGCCCACATCCCTAAAGCAGTTACTCAGCTGTTCACAGCAGATTCCACCATGGAGTTGATTGTCAGTCTTATCATGGGGAATAACTACCTCTAGCCACCTAGCCACTCAACCAGGCCTAGCCAAGTTGACAATAATCTTAACTACCACACCATGTAACAAGGTGGGTAAAGTGCACTAATCTTAAGTGTTCAGGAGGATGGATTTTTTATGTATGAACAAGACACGGTTCAAGATACAGCACACTCCCAGCATTGCATAGGTTTTCCTCATGTCCTTTTCCAAACCATCTACTCCCAGGGCAACCAATCTCTGACTTCCATCATAATCAAATACTTTTCCTTTTATGAACCTTCATATAAAGTGGATTAAACAGCATGTACTGTTGTATCTGGCTACTTTCCTTCAATATAATATCCATTCTCCTTGTTGATCCATTTTGTGTCTATCAGTAGTTTCTTCTTTTTTATTGCTCTGTAGTATTCCATCCTGCCTAAGTTGTTTGGCAAAGGCTCACAAAGAGCCAGTGGTGTGACTGGGGATGCAAGATGAGGCATAAGCCACCTGTGGATGTGCCATGTGTACCACAATTTATTTATTTATCTGTTCTTCAGACTTACTTTTCCAATTGAAACTCATGCAGCACATTCTTGTGGAACATCTGGGATGATTTATCAAAATGAAGGGTAATTCTTAAGACATTCCAGGCTGTTCATTAATATTAGATTGACAAGGTTATGACATTGCCAATGGTCAACTGATTTTGACCTCCAAAAATGGAAATGTAAAGCATTTGACTGCTAACCAGAAGGCTGGTGGTTCAA